ATGCACCGTCAAATATCATCCTCACCAACGTCAACATCGATGATAGGGACTCGGTCCATACCTACCCACACTGCCATCGCCCACTCACCTCACACATCAGCCGGGCTGGTCACTTGCGAATCCATCGCACAGATACTGGCGAACCAGTGCCTGGAGCACCTGACTACACTCGCCCCTCCGCCTTAGTTGTGCCCACTGCCTCCGCACGTTCAGCCGGCGCATCGACCTAGTAGGTCACATGCGCATTCATGAAAACCTGTGGCAGGCAACCGCCGGTTAACCTACATCATCACAGCTCTGCCCACCAGCACTTACACCACACATAAACATCGCCACACAATGCAAGCACTCAACTAACACCTCTCACTTATATGGGAAGTCTGTCGCACGGCTCCTTTTCCATGTCGCTTCTCTGCTTCATGTGTGATCTGAGCTGGAGACTAACATGGTGTGTCAAACGCCTTGACTTGAAAGGCTGCAGACTGACGCCTCCGCTTAGTCCACGCAGTCTGCCCAGCTGTTTCTGTTTGTACCGAGTGGCATACCGATGGGCTAAAAGTCAGACTATCACGGCACCTTCTAAATGCGACCTCTGGTACTTCACACATACGAGAAGTGTGTAGTTGGGTAGTGCCGCTGTCAATGACTGACTGGTTACTTTGCCTTTGAAGGGTGATGTCTCAGGCTAAGTGCAAGGCTGCGTGTCACCCTTTTGGGCCTTAAGGAATGTGTGCATCTGTTATGCCACGTTTCGGCAAACCATGGCTCTCGCAGTCTGGCGTGCCCTGGAAGTTCTCTAGCATCTGATTCCCTATCGGTAGATGCGCTTGCACTCCCGCTGGGTAAAGAGGTCGTGTGAACGGTTCCCCAGTCCTTCTCTTTCTCACCCGTTATTTTGTTGTTGCTGATTAAAATCCTGGTCAAGCGTTATTTTTAGGACCAGGGGGTGTGATGGTACGCCTAGGGTTGGGTCCGACCGTGCCAGCCACCAGCGTCTTCTCCCGCCTCCGGTCTTCTTGACGCTGTATTGACACCGAGCCAAGGTGGGAGAGAGGAGAGTGTGATAGATACTGCGAAAGTCCGCTCTCAATTTAAACTGACTAATGCGCAAGTCACCGTGCCTGCTTTCACCTTGCTGTGAAGCACACAGTGGGCATCGTCGGTTGCGACGGTCAAACTGTTATATGAACATTTATCTTACACTGTGCAGCTGCTGGATTTTCCAGCATGTAAAGTTGAAATTTGCGACAATGCTGAACGATGGGTGATTTATTTGTCCAAAACATCTGTTAGATATGAAGCAAGATGCCAAGTTTTAATCAAAACAGCTAAATTACCCAGTTAACGCCATTCATTGGCTAGTTTTCATGCAGTTTTATGCTCAAAGGTAGGAAATAATTCGATTTTAAAAAAGTTTATAATTATGAGACCTTTAAATACCGTGAAATGGCCGTGCATTAAACGTCATGTCTCTGCATTTACCAATGTGGCTTGTAAAGTTAACAATTTGGCTCAAATCCGCTGCTAAATTTTATGAACCCCATATGGCACCTTTTAACACCGTAGAGTAATGTACGGTTTTCCATACGCAGGAAATATACAGATTGTTGTTTGGAAACCCTAAATGTAAGTTTCGGGTTCAAAATTATTCGGGAATTGGAAAGGTTTGTGAAGATCGAATTATACCCTTCTTCCGAGTATAAAACTGGAAGAAGACGTAAATTTCTACCGAATGAGCAAGAAAATGAATATTTTTATGCATTCTTTCCATGAAATGTAATTGAATTTTATAGGGCATCGAAAATCAATTAGAAAAATGCATGCTAGTTAAGTAGCTACTTTTTACGGACCATTGTTTTTGCATGTAGCCGAAAAGAAGTTCGTTCGAAAGCCAGCATCCTGAAGTAACTGAATTTTTATAGAATTGTGCTGCAAGATGATTAGTTTTACAACCCTACTTAAATAATCTTTCCGAAAAAAACGCATTTTGGAATTTCGTTTGGCATTTCATGAGTTAGCCCACCTTTCCTATTTACGCAGGACTTTTAAAACCACCCGAAGGTCTAGATGTCTTTTAATGGGGTAAAAATCTTAATACAACGCCTCAAGTGTGAGCAGTTCTATTTTTGGAGTGTCCCGACCTAAGACTGTCGCTCCATGAATTTGAGGGTGTGGTCAGTTCCTCTAATGTGAGTTCCAAGTTATGAGTTTGAGTTTGTTCTCCGCACTGCTGGTTTGTGTTCATGTAGCCAGGTCTGCAATTTTCGTCCATTTTCCCTTACGCAGTTGAAGTCTCTATCGTTGCAACATCTGCGGTAGTCAAGTGGCAGTCTGCCCTTGGGTTACATCACGCACGTAAAATTGTTGCCGGGGGTCGATAAGCAATGCCTACTCTGGCAGGTCTTAACGGCCGAGTGACCACCCCCGCCCTCCAGACTGCGGGTTGCTGTTTTTTGTCCATCGCTCGTTCACAGGACGCTTGCTTTGCT